CTTCCTGATATCTGAGGCAGGAAACATAGCCTTGTATGGTGTTTTTGGGGTGGTAATTATGTAAATAACCTCTCCTCGTGCACGAGCAGCTGGATACGAACAGGTGGAATTTACGCAGCTCATTTACGCACTTTTCCTGAAGATAGAAAACTTTGTTGAATCTGACGTGACATGTTCGTACGAACCCTTTGTACGAACAAAAGTAAGAGAAATTTAGGATAAGAATACGAACATGCTCTTGCATGAGGCCCATTGTTATTGTGTAACATGACCACCCAGTCTCATGTCAACCCACAATGTGACCCCTGTTAAACTATTTGAACTACCAATGCTGTCGAATAATAAACATCCACTATCTCAGCTGACCTAAGCTCACTGTTTTGACAATCTGTCAGAGGGTCTGGCAACTGCCTGATAACACTATCACTTCACTGATGAAGTCACCACGCCTGCACGCTATAAATGTGCTAGCTTGATGCAAATAAAACAATTTAAATACCAGTCACCGGCCTGCATGTGCACCAAATTCTGTCCATTTCAGACCATTCCTTCTAGGTGCATACGATTTGTTTTTGTCAATGAGAAAAAAAATGTAGCGTCACTAAGCCATGCGGTCAAGCTTCTCTCAGGCTTTAGGCTGATCTCTAGCCAAAGAACTAGTGAGGAAAAGAAGAAAAGAACAAAAATGCATTCTACTTTAAGTTCGCTCAAGCACTAACATCAGAGTTACTCACAGCTGCCAAATTTTAGTGGACAGGAATGAAAGTCCATGGGGAAATCCTCCAGATGCATTGGGCACTCTGCATGCACTGTTAACCTGCATCCAATTCACAGAACAGTATCCAAAATTTGCAAATGCATGAAGAGTAAAAAGCAAAAATTAAAATCAAACAAAAATATCTAAAAGCCTCATGCACCATTCAAATCTCTCAACTTCTGTAATGCCTTGAACTGTCAGTAGTCATAGGCAAACTAAACAAGGTGTTGCACAAACAAGGAAAATTAAAAAAGCAAGACTTTTTGTTGGATCAAACAATTAAAAACCTACTCAGGATATGAACACAATGAACATACTGTATGTACACAACCACTGTATAAAAATCTTGCACATCTTATTTTTTAAAATTAATTTTTTTAATTAATAATGAAAGAAGATGCATAAAACAAGTTGCAAGAAAAATGAAAAGTGGTCTTTTTGTAATCTTGAATAGTACACAATAAATTTCAAAGTTAAAGTCCAAAATAATGTTTAAAAACCAAACAAGGGGACTCATCCTGAAGTTGATATGTTTCATGAAGATTTTCAGTTTCCAAATTTAGGTCAAGTTGTTTTAATTAATTAATTAATTTATTTATTTATGTTTGGTTTTTATCGATGTCATGTATAACTGAAAATCTACACTTTCAAAGTTCAAGCCAGAAAGATTAGATGAAATGCCTCCCAAAAGCAGAATTATAACTTAAAGATAATGATAAAGATTCCTCACCAACCACAACAATAAAATCCAACATGGCAGCTTTACACATTACAGGGAAACCTGTACTGATTATTTATTTATTGTCCGGATTCTGTCAGTTTATTTGTCATTAAATGAATTGCAATTTTTGAAAATGACAGCGTATTGTTTAATATCAGATAAGTAAAGAATTTTTCATTATCATCATGAAAATTAAAAAGTAAAAACAATATTAAACCATTATTTTATCATATTTGTATAATGCTGTGTACTTTAAACACATTTTCAATTAACTTAAACACTTTTTAATATTTTCCTATTCAGAATTGCTGAATTTCCTCATTTCCTGTTCCAACACAGGATGAGACGGACCAGGGGAGGCTCATCAAGCTCCGCCTCCAGATTGTGCAATCCTTTCAACTGCGCTCCATCTTCACTTGGGCTGTGTCCAAAATGGCAGGCCGGGTCCTCCAAAGGACCCAGCCTACCCGGTCGAGGTGGGCTGGGTCCTTGTTAGACCATAAAGACCGGAAAAATAGTGTCTGTGAATTTGGACAGTTTAGCCTCCCGTCCTTACCCCAGCATACGTCATGTCGCCTAGCAAGCGTGACGACGCTAAACAGAAGCAAAATTAGACCAAAATTAGAAAAATATCAATTTGTTGGTGTTATTAATATCACAAAACAATATAATTAACTTAAAGGTAATATTTGAAGAACTAATGGACCCGCCATAGGAGCATGTTATAAGTTTGTCTTTTTCTGACAAAAATAATTTTTAAAAACACATCTATTCAAATGATAAAAGTATTAAAATTACAACCGCTTGAAATTTTAAATTTTTACACCGCTACATTTTTATTTAAACATATTCTTTTCTCTCGCTTCATCCACCGATACTAGCATCTAGTCTAGTCTAGTCATCTTACTAGCGGTTGGGCCGCAATGCATTATGGGATACGCTGGGCCGGGAAGGATCCATCAGACCAGTCCTTCGATTCGGGCCAAAGGAAGGACGCATTTGTCGGCCTTCGGAGGAGTCTTCGGTTTTGGACAGCCTCTGTCGTGGCGCTGTGACGTATGCGTCTAATGAATTTGGCCTTCGGAGGACCCGGCCCACCGTTTTGAACACAGCCTCCATGCTGCTGGGTATGCAGTGAGAGCAGAATATGTCTTTATGTCACCACACCAGTAAAATGTTTCTGACGTTTTAAAATAAACACCTGACCTTCCAGTTTATCTGATGTTCATTATATAAAAATATATTTGTGTAACATGTTCTGTGAGCTGAAACAGCTGAGAACACTGCAAAAAATGTCCACCAAACCAAGTTTTAAAATCTTATATCCATCCAAAAAGTCTTTTTGGTCTTGTTTTGAGACTGATTTACTGAACAAGAACTGATTGTGTAAGAATAATAATCTTGTTTTCAGAATGTGTAAGATTATTTGTCTTGTTAGTCTGAAAATTTGACTCAAATTAAGTCAAAAATTCTGCCAATGGAGTAAGAAAATTTTACTTAGTAAGATTCATGAAATACTTGATTTGATTCAATTCTTTCTTATTTCAAGAATCTTATCAAGTAAAATTTTCTTACTCCATTGGCAGAATTTTTAACTTAATTTGAGTCAAATTTTCAGACTAACAAGACAAATAATCTTACACATTCTGAAAACAAGATTATTATTCTTACACAATCTGTTCTTGTTTAGTAAATCAGTCTCAAAACAAGATCAAAAAAACTTTTTGGCTGGATATAAGATTTTAAAACCCTGTAAGATGGACAGTTTTTGCAGTGAAAAGACAGGCACTGGAGCTGATGGTATGGGGGCGCTCGTGAGCTCAGAGTTTGCATGAGCCGCCAAAGAAGTAAAAAGTTACAGTTAGCAAGCCAAGTGCGGTGTTTTTGGTACCTGTTTAGTTTCAGTTTATAAAGTTAAAAAAGTAACGTGCAACATACTTAGAATGGAGGATTATATATTTTGAAGCTCAAACTATTTTCTAAACTGGACTTGGATTCAGCAGGTAAATAAAAGTCACGCCACAGCTGAGACTAAAGAGCTTCTGAAACAGTTAGACACTGTGTGGATGTCCTGAGAGAAACTTTTTTCACTCTGCCATTTTTCAACATTTGACAATATCTGGACCCATATGGGATATTTTGAGCGGTGCGTGGACCTATAGGTTATAAATAAAGATAGGACATACAGTAACTTTGTTTTAATGAAATGTGAATAAAATGAGCTGCACTTTGTGTAAAGAACACAGAATGAGACATGAGACATAACTCATTAACTTCTGCCGGTCATGTGATGAATAAGTTGTTCTGTAGGTTCATGTATTTGTAAATCTGATTCTGATGAACTAAGTGCTTCACCATCCATGAACCTCACCACACATGACTGAACCCAGCCGACATTTAACGGCAATGTTATATTCAAATAACATTTATGTTACGCACTGCAGGTAACAGGTTACTGTGTCTTTATAGTTACAGCAGTGATTTACAACAGTGGGTCGTAAATGATTGTATGGTTGACGGCAGTTCAGTAAAGTTCTACGAAAGGCTGGCAATGAACACACACGCAGACACACAAAAACCAAAATCAAGAATTCAAGAATTTTTTTTTTTATCATACCAAATGAGTACTACATGAATAATGAACGATAGATACTGGGTTCCAAGTGGTCAGGAAAAAAAAATCTGATAAGCAATAAGAAGATAAAAAAGTAAAAAACAAAAGAAAAAGAGGTATATAGTGTGTTACACATGTAGTGTATTGCAACACACAAACCTACACGTTCAGCCACAGTAAACCAGAGTGATGGTTTCTAAATAAATCACTGAGATTAATTGCAATTAATCATGTTTAAAATTTTTATTTTATACCCAGCAGCACTAATATTATTAGCACCCAGTACGCTCCAGCCGAACTGCAGAAATTGGATCGGATTATTGCAGTTTCATGATGAAAACTGCATCATTTTTGTTCGCATTTTCGACCCTTTGTTGTCAGAGCCTACTAGCTGAACTTTCCACCACAATCCACAATAGAACATATTGTGTGATTGGTCAGAAGTTCATGGGAGTGGTTGTTTATGCTGAAAGTGCTCGAACGCTGCATTTTGCTTCAACCACTCACTTCAAAATTAATTAATTTAATACTTGCTTGCAGAAGCCAACTGTTGTAGGCTACCCGGAAGCAGACATTTATGAAAATAGTCAAATAGCCAAAAACTCATGGATGGAGATAAAATACAGCGGGTAAAATAAGTATTGAACACGTCACCATTTTTCTCAGTAAATATATTACTAGAGGTGCTAATGACATGAAATTGCACAACATTTAAACAAGCCTGTGTAATACTGGGAGAATATAGTCTGGTCAGATGAGACCAACATTGAACTGTTTGGATGCCAGAATACACAT